GAATGGACATGTCCCTGCCAGACTCCTAGGAAGCAAAAGCACAGTGTGCCTAGGACCCCTCCTCCCACTAGTGATTGAACCCAGGACCTTTGCCCTGAGCTAGATCCCCAGCTCTTTTTATTTTTTATTTTGAGATAGGGTCTTGTTGGGCTTGGACTTGTGATCCTCCTGCCTCAGCCTCCTAGTGTGCTAGGAATAAGGGGTATACCACAATGCCTAGCACCTAGGAGCTGTCTGCAAGAGTCCCTAGGGCAGAGAAAGTACTGGGCTGTGTACACTCTGGTAAGAGAGCACATTTTAATCTTCTACTACTCTGAATATCTTTGTGTATTATGCCACTGACCCAGATAGGAAACTTATCAGAGTAATCAAAACCAAAAAAAGATAGGGTAGCTGAGCTTTGAGCATGTGGCAGCACACACACACACACACACACACACACACACACACACACACCACACACTCACTGAAGGTAGAGGAGATCATCTAGACTCCAGTTTTCAAACTGTGTTCCCTGGCATTTTTCCCTTGCAGGGACCCCAGGAGAGAAACAGAGGTTGCCATGAAGCCCACTACACGCCTCCCATTCTGATTTAACCAGAGAAGTTTTGTTTTTCATTTTCTTTGTGTTTGGGGATTCTGCAAAAGATTTACTTCATAAAAGGGTATACTACATGTAAACAGCACCATCAGATATACAATCAACAAAATCCAGATCATGGAAGACATTGTAGAACAAAGAAGCTGTTTTCTAAAACAAACTTGGGGCCAGGCATTTAGCTCAGTGGTTCCACTGCCTGCCTCACAAGCACAAGGTCCTGAGTTTGGTCCCTCTACAAAATAACAAAAACAAAAATAAAACCTCAACAAAAACAAAGGGAGGGGGGCCCTCTAAAATAAGAGCCTTGACACTAAATCCAGCATGTGGATCTTGTTTACATTCTGAGGTGGATAAATCAATGTGTGACACAAATGGGGAAACTGTCACACTGACAGGGAACTTGGCAATTTCAGAGTGAGGCTATTCATTTTTGGTTGTGTAATGGTGTTGTGGTTGTGTTAATGGAGCCCTTTTCTTTTAGAGATGAAACATGTCTATGTATGAAATGATACAATATCTAAAATTTGCTTTAAAATCATATAGTACAAGAGGTATAGGGGAGCTAAGTGGGTGAGGGTGCAAATGAATCAAGATTGTGCTGGTAATTGTTGAAGTCAGGTGATGGGTACGTGAGGTTCCTTGTATTCTTTCTACCTTTAAATTTTTAAAATTTTGTTGTGGTACTTGGGAGTGAACCTGGGGCCTCACACATGCTAGGCAAGCCTCTTTCCCTTTTAAGTGTTTGAACATTTCCTCCAGAAAAAAAGCTGTTAAAAAAAGTTAAAGACCAGGTGTGATAGTACACACCTGTAATCCCAGCACTCAGGAGGCTGAGGCAGGAGGATCACCACAAATTCGAGGCCAGTGTAGGGCACATAGTGAGTTCAAGGTCAGCCTGAACTACATAATGAGACTCTGTCTAAAAAAGAAAAAAAAAATTAGGGACTGACTGAGGAGATAAACCCTACAGTAAACAGCCTTTAAAAATTAATGAAAATGGTATAAAAATAGGATTATAACCTTATTTTTCAAAGTAATAGCTTTCTCAAGATATAATTCATATACCATATAATTCATCAATTTAAACTGTATAGTTTTGCAGTCACTCTCCATTTCCCAAAATCCCTATAGCACTAGACAACCATTAATCTACTTTCAGTCTTTTTGGATTTCCCTATTCTGAATATTTCATATAAATGGACTGGTCTTTTGTAATTGGCTTCTTTCATCTTGACATAATGTTTTCAAATATAACATTGTTTTAAACTTTCCTGGTCTTAATATGGAAGAGACTTTTCTTTGGCCTTCACACTGAGCTACAGCCCTAGCCCCTTTTTTATTTTGAGACAGGGTCTCACTGATTTGCTAATTTTCCCAGCCTGGGCTCCAGTTTGCAATCTTTCTGCCTCAGCCTCCCAGAATGCTGGCACACAGGTGTGTGCTAAGGGAAGAGGTATCTTATAAATGTATTACTCTGGCTACAGAATTTTTTTTTTTTTCTGAGACAGGGTCTCACTATGTAGTTGAGACTGACCTGGAACTCACTATGTAGCCCAGGCTGGTCTCAAATTCACAGCGATCCTCCTGCCTCAGCCTCCCGAGTGCTGGGATTACAGGCGTGTGCCACCACGCCTGGCTCTCAGAATTTTAAATAGACACTTGGAAGAGGTTGAAACAAAATTGGAGAAGAGGACCTAACTGTGAAAAAGGTCTAAAAACTCTTTCTCTAGTCAAACCTCTCAGACAACACTTAAGGAAAGAAGAGCCCAGAGAGAGAAGTGACTCACTCAAAGGCAAACAGCTTATGGACAGAGCTACGTCCCACACTCCCACCTGCTGCCCACCAGCTCCATCTTCTTCATGTTGTCCTGACCTCTCCCCACTCCCCTTTCCCACATGACTCATAACCTGTGATCTGCAAGATACCTTCGGAGACATAGCTTGAGGCTGCTGTTTCGCAGCTCAGGTTTTCGGCTGCCCAATCCTAAAATGCAGCCACCCATGGAAGAATCAGTGTTGGCACTAGCTCCTAGAATTTCTACCTCCTAGCAGCCCGGGCACAGAAATGTTGTTAGAAGCCAGAGGAAGCTATCTGCTTGGCAGAAAGAGTTTTTTGTTTTTGTTTTGAGACAGGGTCTTGCTATGTAGTTCAGGCTGGCCTGGAACTCACTATTTGCTCAGGCTGTCCTTGAGCTCATGATGATCCTCCTGCCTCAGCCTCCTAAGTGCTGAGATTCCATGAGGGCAATGGGAACAATTTTTAACCCGTTCTGAATGTGCTTTTGGAGTAGCTGGTGGAAGGTTGTGTGAAAGGGAGGCTGGGAGAGAACATGTGGGGAAGGATGAAACCTTTCGGGGTGCCCTTGGAAAAAACCCACGCAAGGTTAAGAGGATCCCTGGAATCCCTCCTGATGCTCCCAGAAGTAAGTTCAGGTGAGACAGAGGGTGGGGATGGGAGGCACAGATGGTCAGTCTGAGGGACAGGACTCCAGGCTGAGGCAATCTATGACCTTACAGCTGTTCTGGAACTGTCTTCTGGGCAGCTCAGAGAAGCTGTCAGGGTGCTGAAAGAGGGCAAGATGAGGACAAATTCCACAGATGGAGCATTGCCTGAAGGCTGAAGATGAGGCCTGGGGGAAGGTAAAGGGAAGAAACTTCCAGACAACTGGGAAAGGAGGGTGAACGGTCCCTAGTGGCCTCTGGATGGCTGAGTCCCTGGGTTGGGTGGGGTTTAGGAGGTGGCGGAGGGTGGGGCAGCCTGTATCCCAGAGTCAGCCCCCAGACAGCTCAGATGTGGAGGTCACAGAAGCTACGCTCTCACACTGGTTACAAAAGCACTGGAAATCTTAGTCCCAGGGATCTGTCCCAGCAGGCCAGGCTGAAAGAAGGCTTTTAATTTATTTCAGGGAAAAATGTCCCTGGGTGCAGCAGCAAAGACTGTGAGCGAAGAGTAAAGATGGAACAGGACTCAGACGTCCAGAGGAGCTGGGATTAATTTAGGTAAAGACAGGCCCTGGATTGCACTCAAAGGTGCCCAGCTTTGGACCTCCTGCACTTGTGAATCCCCTGGAAGCTGTATTTAGATCATCTTGGTTGTGATCTGTATCATAATTCTATCTAGAACAGAGGCCCAGAAAGTTGCTGAGGGGTAGGGCTGATAGGCAGCTCTGTAGCTCATCCCAACAACAACAACAACAACAACAACAACAACAACAACTACTACTAGTACTACTGTTACTCCTTCTTTTTCTCCTCCTCTTCTTCTCCCTCCTCCTCCTCCACCTCCTCTTTTTTTCCTCTTTCCCTTCCCCCTCCTTCTCTTCCTTTATTCCTTTGAGACAGGGTCTCACTATGCAGTCCAACCTGATCTCAAACTCATGGCTATTCTCCTGCCTCAGCCTCCAGAGTGTTGGGGTTACAGGAGTGCATCACCATGCCTGGCCAATAGCCCTTCTAATCTCAATGTCGCAGCCAGTCTTCTTGGCTGGACTTTAACCAGGTGACACATATTAATGCATTCAGTGTCAGTTGACGTCAACCTGGAACTAGACCTGCACTTGATTCATCCAGGAAGATGGACCTGGGCAGCAGAACAAACACCTTTAAGCATCGTGCTGGGCCTGCAATGAGAGGTTTGCCAACAGACAGTGGCTTTGTTTTGCTGTCTTCCTGTCCCCTATCCCTACTCCAATCTCCCTCATTCCTTTCTCTCTGCCTAGCTCTGGGTCAGGAGCTGTTCTTTGTTTATTCATTTGTTTTGGTCAGTCTGATTCCTGAGGAAGGGATTTGGGCTACAAAAGGGAGGAGAGAAGTTCCTGATGTAGTTGCACACGCCTCTAATCCCAGCACTTGGGAGGCTGAGGCAGGAGAATCATCATTGGTTCCAGGCCAGCCTGGGCTACATAGTGAGTTCAAGGCCAGCCTGGATTACCTATTGATACCTTGTCAACAACAACAATGAAGTGGGGAAGAGGACAGCAGGAACTGATTTTGGGAAGCCAGAAGTGAGAATTGGTTTGAACAGGAATTAAATAGAATAAAGCTCCATAGTTAATGCAGATCCTGTTCTCCTGGGACAGTCCCTACAACTTCAGCATGAACTGTCTGCTTCCATGGCTAGTTCATGGTTTTTGACAATATCTGTTGGACACTTACTTCTTCTAATTTTGCTTCAAGTCCCTCCACCCTTCCAAATACAAAATACAAAACAGCATGGGGATCCCCTTTCAGGAGGAAGCAATTATGCAGCTTTAAGAGAAAGAGAAGGGAGGAAGAAGGCGCTGACTCAGATCCTCTTACCATTGGCTGCTGGAGGGGATCCCACCTCTCAGGGATTGGCCTGGACAGTTTCCGCCTCCTCTTGTGATTGGCTCAGCTAGGAGATATAAAGGGGCTGTGCCGGCCTCCTCCGTTGGAGGGAGAGCGGGAGTCCGGCTTAGGTAGTGTGTGTGCACACCTGGGCTGCCCCTTCCTCCTTGAAACCGAGTCCTAGCCCCGCGGAGGCTGCAGCGATGAAGGAGAGACGGGCGCCTCAGCCGGTGGTGGTCAGGTGTAAGCTCGTGCTGGTGGGGGACGTGCAGTGTGGGAAGACAGCGATGTTACAGGTGCTAGCGAAGGACTGCTATCCGGAGGTGAGCTGCCCGCCAGCCGGCTTTGCCCCTGCTCGCCCCGGACCCCTCCCAACCTGCCCGCGAGGCCGGCTCCCCCACCCCGGCCAGCCCCGCCCTCAGCTGATTTCTGGCTGGAGAGCCGCCTTGCCTTACTTCCCCTGAGACCTGTCCCACTTCTGCCGCCCCGCCGGCTCCTCTTCACTTCTTCACCCATCAGATCTCCTACTTTCCTTCGTCCCTGGCGTCTGCTCTCAGGAGAGGGAACTAGAGGCATGGGAGAGTCTGGGTTTTGTTTCTTCTTGACGTAATCCCTACCTCCTTCCTCCTCCTTTTACCCCCCCTCCCTCGCAGATTCTATGAGTGCGGCCCCACGTAGGCTTCTGCTGCCCCTTTCTGCTTTCACCAGCGCTGAGGGGCTTGAGGAGAGGAGTTGGGGGTGGTTAGAAAGGGATGTCTCTGAAATTAGGAGACCGATCATTCTTCGGATGAGAGGGTTGTTTGTGCATGTGCATCCTGACTAGCAGGATATGGGGGGCTTGTATCTGGCTGGGGGAGTCATTCCCGTTCCTTACTGCCGTAGAGCAAAGTGCCTGTTACTCTGCAGTCCTTTTCCTCCTGTCCCACAGGGTCCCTCCTGCCATGTACCCCTCCTGTGTTTCTTCAGTGCCTGACTCGAGTGTCTCAGGGTGGCTGAGTGGCTTCTTGTGTAGCCAGGAATAATAGGAGGGCTCCGGGGCAGAGGTGCCCAGGTGTGAATGGCTCCTCTCTTCTCACAGACTTATGTGCCCACCGTGTTTGAGAATTATACAGCTTGTTTGGAGACAGAGGAACAGAGAGTGGAGCTTAGTCTCTGGGATACCTCAGGTAAGACGCCGGCCCGGAAGCCTCCTCTCCCACCACCTCCACAGGTGCACTGCAGCTGCTGGCTGTTAGAGATTGTTTCTCCCTTTGGTGGGGAGGAAAAAGGTGCTTGCCAAGAAATGGAAAGAAGGAACCTGGAAATTTCTTTTTGGATGTGGCGGCCGTTAGCTCAGTCGTATGGTCCAGGGGTCCAGGGTGGGTGAACCCAGAAGCCACTCAGTTCTCTGGGTTGAGTTCCATCTTTCAGAGGTCTGGGGTGGTGGGGTGGTGAGGTAGTGAATGCTCCCAGGAGTAGAGGGCAGGACTTCTCCACTTCCACTTCGTGCTCCCATACACCCCACACACACACACACACACACACACACACACACACACACACAGCTGTGCGTTCCCCAGAACAAAGTTAAGTAAGGCAGGTGGCCATGCTCCTGGAGGCAGCTGCGGTGCAGGAGATGAACCGGCTTGGGGGAATATTGTCGAGACTCAGGCTCCCCTCCTCCATTGCATCTCTGGCCACTGCTGCCCGCCTGCCGCAGCTCAGCTCCACTGTCACACCGCTGCGGCTTGGGGATGAAGTGATGCATCGTCGACGTTTTAGAGGGTGGGGAGATGGCTTAATATAGGGCACGGGTCCTGTTGTGGCCAGTGGCCTGCCAGATAAAGGGAGGTTGGCTCTGATCGGTTTCCCTGAAAGGTACCAGTGTGAGGTACAAGATATCTTGTCTTTCCAGAATGGAGAAAGCAGTGTTTTCCTAGGCTGTCAGCCCCAAGCCCTTCATGGTGGATTATCTTTGCTGTGGTTCGGAGCCCTTCCTACCATCTCTTTACCTCAGTCCTTTTTTTAAATAGATAGGCTCAGAGTCATAATTAAGGAGCAAAAGCTATCAATGGAAAAAAAGAAAATAAAACCCACTTCTTGCCCCAAAAAATGCATATTCAGTCTGAGTTTAAAGAGGAGCTGTAAATCACTAGGGGTTTCCTGTTACATATAATAAATATGCCGCCCGATTCCTCCAAAGAGCTGTTGTTCCCATGCTCCAGTTTTGAGGTCTACAAAGACCGGGGGTAAGGGACGGGTAGATGGAAAATGAGAATTCCTCTTGCTGCTGGCCAAGCAAAATTTCCTCCAGCTGCTGTGCTTCCCTCTGTTGCAGTTCCAGGGGTGAAGAGGCAGGTTCGGGACTGTGCTATGCTGGCTGGATGGGATGGGAATGCAGCGTGGCTACGTGCTGCGTGGTGTTTCTTCTGCTGTACCCTCCCTCCTCCCAATCTTCCCAAACCCTTACTGCAGCTTTTCTCTCACTATCACCACCCCCAACCTCCTGCTGCTTCCCCCTCCTCTCAGGGCTGGAATGCAGCCCTTGAGTCCCTAATCCAGATAATGGAAAGTCAGCAAGTGTGGTCCCCCTTACACCGTGTTGCGCCCCACCCCCTAATTTCTAAAAGGATAAAGGCTATCAGTTACCCTTGGACTCCGTCTTTGAAATTAGGTTCCCATAAGGAAGGCGGAAGTGGCAGTAATGTGTGGGATGGGGCTTTCCTCTATTGGGGCTGAGGTTGAAGCTATTCCCATGATTCACTTGCTGGTCTTAGGGGAGGGGGATCACTTGGAGCCAAAATGGAGCACTCTTCCCCTCCCCCCCTCCCTAGTACTGCAGTGCTCCCTCTGCTCGGGTGCTGCAGTGATTGGACCCCCACCTCAGAAAGGGACAAGGATAGATTGCCGAAGGATCAGGCAGCTATCCCACCTCCCCTTTACTACTTTTTTTTAAATGACTGACACCCCCACCCCAGCCTGGATTCCCTCCAGTTTCCATGGCGATTGCGGTAGAGGGAGAGGGGCTGCTTGCTATTCTGAGCACGGATTGTCTGGGTTCCAAATCCGCTACTGTTCCTTCCCCAAGGTGGAGGGGGGCAGGCTCAGCTCTTAGCTTTCACCCCTAACAGACCCCTGAGTCCACTGTGCCTGCTTCCCTTCCAATGGAGGACCCTTGCTCCAGGTTTCCGTCGTCAGCTGTTGGTCCTGTTGTCTTTGAGACTGGCTCCCTGAGATCTTAGGGGTAGGGGTTACAGCATTCCTTTTCTAGTTTCACTGTAAGCTGACTTGGGTGGGAAGGGGCTGGAACACTGAGTCCTTGATGCTGTCCTTTGCCCACCAGCCTCCTCGAGTTCTGACCCCACGGTAAAGGCAGCCAGTTACGTAACAGGCAATCTTGTTTCTTCATCTAGAAGACCCCGAGCAGAAGAAGGGATCAGAGGTTGGGCGGCAGGCAGATTTCCAAGAAGAGACCTTCAACAGGCCTTGGTCTCTCCACAGGGGTTGAGAGCATTTTTTGGGACTCAGAAAATGAATAGATTTTAAATTAAGCCCACTGTAGGAGCCCCAGACAGGGTAAAAAATACTCCACCCCCTTTTATTTTGCCCTTTTTTGCTGTCTCAGAACTCAGGGATATGATATTTGTGCACAGTTGTCTGGCAGGTAATCTAGTCCCAAGTTTCCAGGCTGCTGCACATTCCCCTGGGAGATGGGCAGATCCTAAGGGATCAAAAGTGGTGTCCCCAGGACTCCTTGGCTCACCACCAGCTCTTTCTCCCCTATCCCAGGATCTCCTTACTATGACAATGTCCGTCCACTCTGCTACAGCGACTCAGACGCAGTATTATTATGCTTTGACATCAGCCGTCCTGAGACAGTGGACAGTGCTCTCAAAAAGGTAAAACCAGCTATACTTTACAGTTTCTAACCCAACAGGAGAACAAGAAAGAATCTTGAGGCCCTTGCCATTTAATTGTCTTGTGTGCCAGGCGTGGTTTGCCAGGCATGGGCATGCATGCTTGAAATCCCAGCCCTCTGGGACACTGAGGCAGGAGGACTGCTAGAAAGTTTGAGTCTAACCTTGGCAAGTTAGCAACTTGGTGAGACCCTGTTTTAAGCGGGGAGGCACTGAGATGTAGGAGGAAGGGAAGGAGGATAGGAAGGAATTGAGGCCAGAGAAAGGAGAGATTTTCCCAAGGCCACAGAATTAGCTACAGCTCTGGGACTAAAATCTAGGTCTCCTCATCCCTCTGCCTTCTGCCCTTTCTACTTCCTGTATGGCTTCTTTAGAGATCCAGCAAAGAGGGTGGCACTGAAGACTTAGGAAGGAGAGAACCTGCTGGGGATGTGGTTTGAGGGCCAGGATGGGCCCTTTCAGAGGCAGCTTCTATAGGCCTTCATCCCAGTGCATCAGGCAGTCAGAGATGACCTTCCTGTAGGAAATGCCTGGGTCTGGGTGGTAAGGTCTGCATACTGAGGACCCCTGGAATCCTTGTGGAATTAGCCTGGTTTCCCAGAAGACTCTTGAGTTATGCTCTTCTTTCAGGGAGAGATTGGTTGGCTTCCGCCTGCCATTCTGGACTTGTGAGGCTCTTTGGCTGGACTGAGGGGGCAGAGTCACAGACCGAAAGGGCAGGAAGATGATGTCATTAGTACAGGGGAGATGCTGTGACTCAGAGGGAGAGCTGGACTGGTGATAATCTGGGTGGTATGTGCGACATTGCCAACCGGGCTTTTCCTATTATCTGTCTGCCCCTGACTCTGCTTCCTTCCCTTCTTCCTGCTGGGATCCCCAGTGGAGGACCGAAATCCTAGATTATTGTCCCAGCACCCGTGTTTTGCTTATTGGCTGCAAGACAGACCTGCGAACAGACCTGAGCACGCTAATGGAGCTGTCACACCAGAAGCAGGCGCCTATCTCTTACGAGCAGGTGAGTGTGTATGTGAGCAGGGGGCAACATGGGAAAGGTTACGGCAGAGGCCTTGAAATATGGGCCTTGTTAGACTCTTTCGCCATGGCAAGTAAGAATTGATGTGAGGTGTTTGTCTATAATTAATGAACCAGTCACCTCAGTAGGGGTAGTGGGTACCTGTGGGTTAGCAGGTGAGCCATTCCTGTGTGTGCTAGCATTTCTAATATTGTTTTCTGTTGACCACCTGGCTAGAATCATTAGAGGTGCTTCTTAGAATTTCAAATTCTTGGCTCCATACCTATAAAATCACTCTGGGAGAAAGATATGGAAATTTGCATTTTTAACAAGACCTTTAGATAATTCTGTACGCACACAGGATCAGTTCTTTTAAGTCAGTGTTTCTCATTAGAGTCTTCTGGGGAAGCTCTTAAAAATAGTCATGCTGGGGCCAGGGCTGTGGCTCAGTGGTAGAACCCAAGGCTCATCGGTTTAAATTCCAGCACAAACACCCTATTCCCAGAAATTTTGATTTCCTTGGTCTGGTATCAGTGTAGTTTAAAAGTGTCCCAGGTGATTCAAATGTGTAGTTAGGTTTCACCTTCACAAAAATACTTGGCAGGGGCTGGTGGTGGGTGCATCTGGAAAAGCACACAGGAGGCCATAGTGTTTCTCAGCCACTGGGGACACTGTGTTAATGATCCCACCCTCTTCCCTTAGGGCTGTGCCATAGCCAAGCAGCTGGGTGCAGAAATCTACCTGGAAGGCTCGGCTTTCACCTCAGAGAAGAGCATCCACAGCATCTTCAGGATGGCGTCCATGGTGTGTCTGAACAAGCCTAGCCCGATGCCCCCCAAGAGTCCGGCCCGGAGCCTCTCCAAGCGACTGCTCCATCTTCCCAGTCGCTCCGAACTCATCTCTTCTACCTTCAAGAAGGAAAAAGCCAAAAGCTGTTCCATTATGTGAAGTGGGAGTTGGAGGGGGGAGACACCCCCCACTTCCTCCCTTGGGGTGCAGAGGCACGGGGAGAGGGAGGATGAGACAATTTAGGACACTGGCGAGTTTTTCAGATGGCCACGGTGAGAGCTTGGAAGGAGTCAGGAACGGGATGAGGAGGGGTCAGGCCCAGCATGAGGACCTGACACTGAGTGAGAACCATCACACCCAAGCCAGGCGGTAGGCTGAGGAGGGACAGCTGTGCCAATGCCCCCATCCCAGAGGAGGGAAAGGTGCGGGGGCTCCAAGGGGCATGCTGGCCTCGTGGGCTTGGGGGCTTACAGGAGCCTCACCCTCAGCGTCATGCCGCTTCCACACAGCGATTCCATGCAGGCGGGGGAGGGGAGGGGTCCCCGCGCTCGTCCCTTCCCCTCCACGGAGCTGCAGAGGAACAGAGGGCTAGGAAGCCAAGAGGCAGCTCCTTTGGGAGCTTAGCCTAGGTGCTTCACAACTGAAATCAGAGGGCAGGGGCTGGCCGGAGCCCAGGAGAGGGAGCCTCATTTTGCATAGCCCATGCATCATGGAGAGGTGACATCGCACACTCACATGCTTCTCACCTGAGTCCCCAGGGTCCAAGGGAGAAGCCCCAGACCCCCTTCTCCTGCATTGTGGGGGTGGTGGTGCTGCAGGGGCAGGCCTGGGAGGGGGTTTACCAGACTTTTCCTGCCCTTAGGGCAGCACAGCTGGCGTTCGTTTTATAGACTCTTGTCTTTGGAATTGGGGGGAGGGGGGAGTGTTTCAATCTGTTATATGTTCTGTGTTTAAAGAAGAAAAACTATTTATTAATGAAAAATATAATACATATGAAGAAGTTGGTTCCGTTCCTTCTTTTCTCTGTTTTCTTAGCTGTTCATAATCAGGGCAAAGCTGTCTTGGGGCCCTTTCCACGGTTTGCAGAGTGGCTGCCTCCACAGTCCCCTAGTACCTCCAACAAACAACTCCTCCTTTTCCCTCATTTTCTGTCCCAGTCCCACCCAAATCCTAGTAAGCCAAATCCAAACTCCTTAGCCCCAGAGCAGGGCCTTTCACCCTTGCAATGACTGACCCTGTGGAGTGGGAAACACTTGTAGAGGGCTGTGCTTTGCATATAGAACATTTAAGCATCTCTTGCAGGTGCTAGGTGACAGTGGAATCCTCAGCTGTCATAGCCAAAAAGTCTCCAGGTCGTGCCCCTGAGCCAAATCACTTCTGGCTGAGGACCATTGCCCTAGAGCAGGGATGGTGAGCCTTTGAGATCTTTCAGTGATAACAAACAGCCCTGGGGAGGCGCTAGCACTGGACTTCCAGCTCCAGGGCCTACTGTCAGTAGAGCAGGGACCTCAGTTTCCCTTACCCTTTGTGACTCACTGCTCTTGGTTTTCAAGTTACATAGTATAGTGCTAGAAATTAAAAGTTGCTGTGTGCTCAGCACTGTGATGAGGGCTTTACCTCCCACTATCAGATTTAACATTAGTGATAATGGCATACCTTTTGTACATGTTTGGTATGGGCTGGGGGCACATAGGTATCATAATAATATGATATTGTATTATCTCCATTTTACTGATAACCCATTATGCCTTCAAGTCCACATATTTTATTCCTGTAATAACCCTTTGAGATACTACTTATTTTGTTTTGCAGACAAGGAAATTGAGGTTCAGAGAGATTAATGTGTCCAAGGCCACACAGCTAGAAATTGGTAGACTATGGATATGAATCAGGCAATCTAACTGCAGAACTTGAATTTTTTTTTTTTTTTTTGACATTGAGTTTTGCTATGTTGTTCAGATTGGCCTCAAATTGAGGACCTCCATTTCCATCTCTCTCTCTCTCTCTCTCTCTCTCTCTCTCTCTCTCTCTCTGGTACTGGGGATTGAATTAGAGAGGCCTTGTGCTTGTGAGGCAGGTAGGGGCGCCTCTGAGCTAAATCCCTGGCCCTCCTTTTGCACGCTACTGTGTCTACTCAGAAGATGTTTTTGTTTTGTTTTGTTTTGTTTTTGAGACAGGGTCTTATTAGCCCAGGCTGGCCTGGAACCCATGATAATCCTCCTGCCTCAGCCTCCCAAGTTCTAGGATTATAGGTATACACTACCACACCCCACAAGAACATGCTTTTTTTTTTTTGGTACTGAGGTTTGAACTTGGGAGGGACCTTGTGCTTGTGAGGCAGATGGTGGCACCACTAAGCTAAAATCCCCAGTCCAGAACATGCATTTTTAACAGCTCTACTACCCTAACCTGCTAGACAAGGGGGAGTTATTGTCCCTATTTTATAAATGAGAGAGAAAAGCCAGAGATGCCCTATAACATGCACAAGATCATACTGATAGTAAGGACTCAAATCAGGTCTCATTGTTAATAATCCATGGACCCCTTACTGCTAGCCATTGTGTCCCTAAATGGGAGACCACCTACGATCCTTACTAAAGCATAGTCCTGTCTCCATCTCCAAGCATGCCTGTTTGTAAGAGAACTAGCGGAGTAAGATTAAAAAACAATGAGTTGGGCCCAGATTTAGCTCAGCGGTTTCGCTGCCTGCCTCAGAAGTGCAAGGACTGGAGTTTGATCCCTGGTACCAAAACAAAACAAAACAACGATTTTTTTTTTTTGGTACCAGGAATCAAACTCAGGACCTTGTGCTTGCAAGGCAGGCAGCAGAACCCCTGAGCTAAATCCCGGGCCCAACAATGAGTATTATTTAAGCTCTATGTCTCACATATGTCATGAGAGGAGACTACCGTTATGAAGTTGAACAAACTTTGTCACCTTTCTGAGTCTCAATTTACTCTTCTTTAAAGACAGTGGGTATGGTAGCCTGGAAATAGAGGAAAGGAATGCACTCTGAAGGTAAATGAGCCTTGAGTTTAATTCTGCCTCCCCTCCTTTGCAGTACTACAGACAGGGCCTTCATGCTGTTATTCCCAGCCCAGCGCTTTTTTTAATTTTTAATTTTGATTCAGGGTCTTGCTAAGTTATTAAATTGCCCAGGCTGAGCTTGAATTTGCAACCATCATGCCTCAGCCTCCCAGAGTGCTGGAATTAAGGTGTGTACCACCATGTCAGGATCCCCCTCTTTTTAGAACTATGTGGACTTAAAGATGTGATTTTTCTATAAAATGGAATATTACTCAGCCATAAAGAATGAGAAATTAGATTCATTCATAGGAAAATGGATACATATTGAGGATATACTCCTAAGTAAAATAAATAAATCACACGTGTAAATACTGAATACTTTTTCTGGTGTGAATATAATAGTACATAAGATCCTAATGATATAACTGACAATGTGAAATGGGAAGAAAGGGGCTAAAGGTGTTCAGTAAAGTGGGAAGGGTAGGGGAAAGCTAATAAGGGAAAAGAAAAAAATATGAGAAAATGGAAATAAAGTGTTTGTATATAGGGAGGGGAGGAGGGGGTGAAGGGAGGGCAGGGACAAGGGGAAAAAGTGAGAACCAAGACCTGTCACGTAAAGGTGCAAGATCCCAATGATGAATGTAACTGTACTGTATACCTAAAATATACCAATAAACTCAATGAAGAAAAAAAAGAATTATATGGATTTAAAAGCATCATTAATCTTTCTGGGTAATCAGTAAAATGGAGATAATACCAATATCATACTACTACTATAACTAAGTAAACTAATTATTGCCAATTAACTGTCCAGAACAGAATTGGGTACTTAGAAGAGTCTCAATACTCTGGTAGCTATGATAGATTCTGATTTTTCCTTGGTCTGAGTCCTAATTCAAGTTCCAGTCTGTGGATGGAGAGCCCTTTAGTGTTCACTGTGTGAATTACATCAAATAGGTCTCAGACTTCCTTTCGCCTTTAGGGGTTTTAGATGTGATAGCAGAGGGGAAGTCAAAGGCTGGAGTTCTAAGAGCACACACGTGAGTCTCCCATTACTTTGGGCCACCGTGTGTGAAGCTCAGAGTTTAAGGGTCTGAGTTTTTCCTGAGGCCCAGCTTGAGAACTGAAAGCATATTTGCAGAAAAAAAATCAGATCCACAGCTGTGTGGAACTGAAACAAGTTTAAAATGGGGAAATGGGAAGGAAGGAGGCACTAGATACTTCAGTTATCTCAACCACCCTGGCAGTTGCAGCGCGCGTGAGTGCGTGCGTGCGTGCGTGCGTGTGTGTGTGTGTGTGTGTGTGTGTTTAAATTATGAGCCCATAAAACCAAAGTGAAACAAAGGAGGCATATGATTCAGGGTAAAAAAGCTCAGTGGGGGACTGCAGGGGGAACTAGAAGAAAGAAGAAAAATAAGAAGATAGTCTAGCCAGGGATTTAGCTCAGTAGTGCGTAACCCCACCTACTCCAGAGGCTGAGGCAGGAGGACCACAAGGGGCCTGGGAATGTAGCTCGGTGGAGTGTTTCTCAAGCCTGCATAATGCCCTTGAGTTTAATCACAGTACCAATAAATAAATAATCAAACAAACGAATAAATAAAATATAAAATAAATTTGAAGTGGTAATCCCAGCACTGGAGAGGTTAAGGCAGGAAGATTGCCATGAGTTTGGGGCCAGTCTGGACTACATAGTGAGGCACTGTCTCAGGAAAACAAAAAACAAGCAAATAACCCCAAATAAAAAAAAATTTAAAAGAAGAAGAGGAGGAGGAGGAGAGGGAGGAGGGGGAAGCCCTCCAGAATGTTGAGAAACAATTGCCAGGGCCCAGGAGATACAATCCTTCCAGGAGGATTTTGGAGTCCACTGTCTGGTTTGGTTTTTTATTTGTCATTTGCTTTTTTTTTTTTTAGACAGGAGGTAGATAAGTTGCTGAAACTGGCCTTGAACTCACCATCCTTCTGCCTCAGCCTTCCCAAGTATTGGGATTGTAGGCATTTACCACCATGCCTAGTTGCACTGGCTCATTTTGAGTTGTCACAATAACTAAGGGTTATTACAGTTATCACCCCACTGCCAGGCCAGGTTTGCTAAAAAGTCCCTCTAAGCTTACAGTATTTCTGCACAATGAAGAACTGTACCATCCCCATTGTAAAATACTAGGCTGGTCCTATAACTTTTGTTTGTGCAGTTGTAAAATGGGCCTAATCTCTTGCACAGTTTTTGTAAAAACGCACCTCCATAAATCAAAAATTATTTGCTGTTATTTCAGTTGTTAGTATAGTTGCATATAATATATAATTGCAGCCAGACAGGCATAGTGGTGCACGTCTGTATTCCCAACACTCAGGAGGTTGAGGCAGGAGGATTGCTAGTTAGTGAGTTCAAAGACATATATGTGCATATATGCACTTGCAGTTGTTAATATAATTGTTAGAGTTATCTGCCTTCTTCTTCGGTACTTGGGATTGAATGAAAGGCCTTTGCACTGAGCTATATCCTCTGCCCTTTTTATTATTTTGAGATAAGAGTCTCACTAAACTGACCAGGCTGGGCTCAACACTCCTCTTTGTGCCTCCCACAGTACTGGGATTACAGATGCATATATGCACTTGCAGTTGTTAATATAATTGTTAGAGTTATCTGCCTTCTTCTTCGGTACTTGGGATTGAATGAAAGGCCTTTGCACTGAGCTATATCCTCTGCCCTTTTTATTATTTTGAGATAAGAGTCTCACTAAACTGACCAGGCTGGGCTCAACACTCCTCTTTGTGCCTCCCACAGTACTGGGATTACAGACTATCTAAGTAAACTCTTAAATTCCTTCACTATAATCCCCCAGCCATGATAGTTATTAAAAGAAGTTTCTAGGTGGACCAGCAGATTTCAGGAAGACTGGGGCGGGAGGCTGGCTCCCAGAAAACTTTCTTCCCGAAGACTCAAACATTTGGAGAACCACATTACCCAATAGGCCTCGCGGTCCGGCCGGCGCTCGAGCTGTGCATTCTGGGATTAGTAGTTCCTAGGTCTCACCGTGGACCTGTACCATGAAGCCCCAGGGACTCGCTTTCCCATCTTGCTGCTCGGCCGGGGAGCACGTCGGTGATCAGGAAAGTGGAAAGATGGCGACAGCTCCGCAACGTTAAGGCCGCGTTAGGCGGTTCAGACCCACGGTGGTGAGTTCCAGGCGGTGGAGGCGGTTCTCATGAGTTTACGGAGAGGCAATAGTGAGGGTATGGCTGTGGCCCTTGCCACCGGGACGAGGCGGGGAAGAATGCCTTAGGGAAACGGCACAAGTCTTGGAAGCTCTGGCGGGCAAGAGTGAAGGGGCGCGGGCCCCAGGGGGAGAGTTGCCTGCTGGGGCCACAGGCCTCGTCCCTGGACGGTGCTATGGGTCTAGACCTTTGCCTGTAGGCGCAGTGCCTGTGATAACGCCAGCAGACCTTTTTGTTGTTGTTGCGAATAGACGGTGCTGCAGCCAAGTTAACTGGTTATCCCAGAACCAGTCCCTATTTTTCCCGCCTCAGGGCCGCCTATATTGTTTCTTTCAAGGGGAATTACCCTTTTTCTGGACCCTCAGTTTTACACCTTCAAAAATCTACCTGTACTTCAAGGCCCCAGACTACTTCCTCTATGGAGCCTTCCAAATCCACTTTTACAAATGAAACTGCTTCTCTTAACTCCTCTAATACTTCATCTGAGCTTTCGTTTTGGTACATGTCTCATATACTCTGTTCAAAAGGCTTCTTGTGGACACAGTTTAACACACAGCACCTAGCACCGAGCCTTACATATAATGATACTTGATAAGTACTTTGCTGCCCTGCAAGAACAGAGGAGGACTCAAAGATACAGAGACTTGAGCATCTGTATGACCAAAATGATCCATAATGAAAGGTGCCTATATTTATTATCTTTTTATTCTCACTCCACATTCTCTGCCAGATTCACTTCACTCAGGCTTCTTCTACCTTCATGGCATTGAAACAACTCTTGGCAAGATCACTATTAATCTTCATCCTTCCAAGTGTAATGATTCTTTATCCTCTCATCCTTTTCCAGTTTGATGGTACTTGACACAATTGACCAACTGCTCCTCAGAACATATTTTTGGTTTCTCTGTTGCTATATTTTACTTTTTAAAAAAATATTTTCTCACTAGTGGCAGCTTCTTTTTTAGTCTTTTTCTCTGGCTTCTCCTGTGCCTGACCTCTGCATGTTAGTATTCTAGAGCTCAATCCTGGGGCTTCTGTTTTTATGTTCTTCTTTAACTATGCTGCTTATTTAGGTAATATCATTTAATGCACCACAATTTTAATAGCCATCTGTTTATTAATGACTCAAAATTTTGTCTCTTGACTTTACTCAGTTGAAGATTTGTGTTTCCATCTACTTTCTTGGAGTCTCCACTTAAGTTTTCTTATTTATATCTCACAATCAACCCAGCCAAAATGGAGCTTTTAGTTTCCTCCTAAATCTGTTCCTTTCCAAGTCTTCTCGGATTAGTTCTCCAATGGTACCACAAGCCAATAGTTTGTTCAAACCATAAATTTAGGGAACTTTGTGTCTCCTCTTTCTCCCTTCATCAGTAAATCTTGTCAGCTCTGCTTCCAAAATATACCCTGAAACTGTTTACTTTTTTCCACTTCTGTTACCACCTTCCTAGAACAAACTGCTGTCATCTTTTGCCTTGGCTGTAGTGTCCCTTGGTATCTGAGGAAGATTAGTTCCAGGACCCCTGAGAATAGCAAAATCTACAGGTGCTCACGTGCTTTACATAAAGTGGGATAATGTTTGCATATCATTTGCATACCCTCCTGTGTACCTTAAGTCATCTGTAGATTACCTGTAGTACCCAATACAATCTAAGTGTAGTAGTAGTTATGTCTTACTCAGGAAATTGGGGGAAAAAGTTTACATATTCAGAATAGAATATATGAATATTTTTCGATCTGCATTTGGTTGAATATGCAAATACAAAAACTATGGATAGGTATGGAGAACCAACAAACTACTGTAATACCATTCTTAGTGGCTTTATATGTAAAACTATGTTTTTGTACAAGTCACCAAAGTAATTTTTTTATAATATAAAATTGTATCACTCCTGTTCAAGGTATTCCCATTGCAGTTAAGTTGACATGTAAATTTTTTTGCCCTGGCCTATAACACATTTTCATGATCTGACTCCTGCCTACCTCACTGAACTCATCCTGATCAGCCTCCCCCTGGCTCAGTGCTAGTCAGCTACATCTTTCTTCTTTTTGCGGGGAGGGGGGGTGGGGATTGTGCTGGGGATTTAACCCAGGGCTTTGTGCATGCTAGATAAGTGCTTTACCACGGAGCTGCATCTCCACACCTAAGTACATTTCTTTTAATCTGAATAAAAATGGGCTTGTTTCTTCTTTTATCCTTGTGGTGCTTAATCTAAATTTCAGAGTTGAACTTTTTCTTTTTGAGATTTCTTTATGAGCTCGAGAGAATTTATTCCCTTTAACTTTATATATGTTAACTAATACTGGTGGGCTAACATACCTAGTAAACTCCTAAGGTAAATAATATAGGATGTTTCCAGAAATAGCTGGGATACTGTTCATTTACTAGTGTTTTTAATGCTCTTTTGCAGTCCAACTACAAAAATGTGTACTCGTTTTACCTATTTAGAAGTGAATATAAAAAGGAATCACAGGGAGACAGTATAATATAGTGAGTGAGAATGGGCCTCTGGAGCCAAACAGCTGGAACTCTGCCGTTTACTACCTGTATGTCCTCAGGCAAGTTAGTTTATGTACCGCAGCTTCAGTGTCCTCGTCTATAAAGTAGGTATACTAATATATCTACCTTGGGGTTGTTTTGAGACAGTGAATTACATATGGTAAGTACTCCTTTTACAACAGATGGCAGGAGAGCTGGCTGACAAAAAGGACCGAGACTCATCACCTTCCAAGGAGGAAAGGAAGCGATCACGGTCTCCTGACAGAGAGCGGGATAGAGACCGGGACCGAAAGTCCTCCCCATCTAAAGATAGGAAACGCCATCGGTCCAGGGATAGACGACGGGGAGGTAGCCGCTCTCGCTCTCGTTCCCGTTCCAAGTCTGCAGAGAGGTAATATGATTTTGCATGTCTGTTACATGAGAAGGAAGAGAGTGTGTTTCAGATTTCTTTCTTTTCATCCATATTAGGCATCTATTTTCCACAAATTAATATCTTTCTAGCCCAGTTGGACCTGCAAGTGTTTTCAGTTTTCCTTAGTAACCCAGCTTTTAAAGGTTGTGAGGGAGCTTGTGAGGTGAAGGTCCAGATGATCGAGATTTAGCTGCTCAGCCAGGCATTTAGCTCAGTGGTTCTGCTGCCTACCTTGCAAGCGCAAGGACCTGAGTCCAATTCCCAGGACCAAAAAAAAAAAGATTTAGCTGTTCATGTAGTTGTCTGTGGTCTCTAACTGCCATTAATACTTAGCAGTACAACTCTTGACATGTAAGATTTTAGAATTCCTTCATATATCCTGGGAAATGTATTCTCCACTTTATACAACATGACTGGAGAGAAAAAGTACGGGAACTTTCTCAGGGCTGCAGTGATACCGTGGAAATACCAATTGATTTCTTAAATGTGCTCTCTTCCAGAGAACGACGGCACAAAGAACGAGAACGAGATAAGGAACGGGATCGGAATAAGAAGGACCGAGATCGAGACAAGGATGGGCATCGACGGGACAAGGACCGCAAACGATCCAGGTAACGAAGGACTGAGGGTGAGTCTTAGGGTGATGCTCCCATCTCTTCCTCTCTGTATCTCAGCTGGCTTAGCTTCATAGGAAATTGATTTCTCTTTGCAGATCTTTTTGGTAGTAATTATACAGATGTTTTTCTTAGTACCTGTTTTCTTTTGAAAGTATAATGGTTAGTAAAGTCACAACTAAGTTAAGTTGTGGCTCAACTTGTTCTTGGAATTTAGAAATTGGTTTGAAGGGCCGGGGATTTAGCTCAGTGGCAGTGTGCCTGCCTCGAAAGTGCAAGGTCCTGAGTTTGATCCCTGCTACCCCCCCAAAAAAAATTCCTTTAGCCCCATTATACCATTCAATATTTCTACTCAGTATATATAGCATATATTTGTTAGAGTAGCTTAATCTCACAGTATCTTAATCTCTTTCTTCTGGAAACATTCTGTGTAAAGTTCTTATCAGGCCTTGAATGTGTGGGTTAGAATTCAAGGCAAAGGACAGAATGTTCATCACAGAAATTCAGGGGGCTTGTCTGAAGTCTGTTGTAGACTAGGCACATAGCAGGGAGGGAAAGGATTGCTGGGTCTAATGGGAAGGAAAGTTGATGAGGGCATATAGATAGCAGTGTGTCCTTGGCTCATAGTGGTGGCCATTTAGTGTCATTTCGTTGTGTGTTATAAAGTTAAGATTTTTTTTCAACATGTAACTGCTGACTAGAGGAAATAGTTTTGACATCAGGAGTAAATTCCCACTTCCCATAAGTGACTAGTTCTAGAAAAGGAGATGGAACTAGAATAGGGCCAAGCCAGGCCATGCCTCCCAAACGGACCATGCCTGCTAGGAGAACTTTAGAACATGGTGGATGACCATGGACCAGTCTTATTGAGTCACGGGAAAACTTCCATTCTCTTTTTTGGGGCTCAGGGGCTGGGGTAGTACAATTATGTGGATCTTGTTCTCTTTCCTTAAAGCTTATCTCCTGGTCGAGGAAAAGATTTTAAATCTCGAAAGGACAGAGACTCTAAAAAGGATGAAGATGATGAACATGATAAGAAGCCAAAGGTAAAGGAAAATCATTTTTTTTATCTTCCTCTTTAACTTGAGTTCTGCTTTATTGTTCCAAAGGGAGAAAGCTTTTGTGGCCTGAAGTCCTGTGTTTCATTTTCAGGCCCAGCCATTGTCTCTGGAGGAACTTTTGGCCAAGAAAAAGGCTGAGGAAGAAGCTGAGGCTAAGGTAAGCTTCAGGGACTATACAAGTGGCTCTGGCTACATAACAGCATACCACAGACTGGGGGGCTTCAACAACAGAAATTAATTTTCTCACAGTTCTGGAAGTTGGAGGTCTGAGGTGAAGGTGTCAGTAGCAGTATTTCTTCTCAGGCCCCTCTCCTTGGTTTTTGTACTACATATGAAATCTCTTTGTGTCTATGTGCCCCTGGTATCTGTATCCAAATTTCCTCTTAGGAGGACACTAGTCAGATTGGATGGAAGCCTACCCTAATGTAATGGCATCATTTTAACTTCATCACCTTTTTAAAGGCTCTGTCTCCAAATACAAAAGTACTAGGAGTTAGAAATTCAACATATGGGTTTGGGGTTATGCATAGTTCAGCCCATATAGCTCCTAGGTCCTAAGGCCTATTTATGTTTTCCTCCACAAGTTTAATGCCTGGGCGAATATTTTCAGGCACCCTGTGATCTCCCTAACAGTAATGTGATTGCTCCCTGCTCCAGGATCCTTTAACAGTTCCCATCTGTTTTGTAGCCTAAGTTCCTCTCCAAAGCAGAACGGGAGGCTGAGGCTTTGAAGCGGCGGCAGCAGGAGGTGGAAGAGCGGCAGAAGATGCTTGAGGAGGAAAGAAAGAAAAGGAAACAGTTCCAAGACTTGGGCAGGAAGATGCTGGGTTTGTTTTTCTACCCTGTGTGGCAAGGGTGGGATAGGATCATAGTGTCACTTAGGAGGGAGAGAAACCTGTCTGCTCCAGAGTCTGGAAGAGGGACAGATGGTGGAAATTAATGAAAAAGGGATCTTTTTGTTAGATCTCCTTTTCCCTTGTATCATAAACCTACCCCTTTTTTACCCTCATTTGGTATCCATTATTCAGATTCCCTCTGTTCCCTCTCCTTTGTTCCATTGAGCTTTTGTGCAGCTTTTCTGTTTGGTCTGCAGAAGACCCTCAAGAACGTGAACGTCGGGAACGCAGGGAGAGGATGGAGCGGGAGACCAATGGAAATGAGGATGAGGAAGGGCGTCAGAAGATCCGGGAAGAGAAGGATAAGAGCAAGGAACTTCATGCTATTAAGGTGCACACACAGAAATGAGGTCTTTGGTCATTCTGGTTTCTGCATGTAAGATTTATACCCAAAGTTGATGGGCTTTGTGCTTTCTCTGTGGGCAGGAGCGTTACCTGGGAGGTATCAAGAAGCGGCGCCGAACGAGGCATCTCAATGACCGAAAGTTTGTCTTTGAGTGGGATGCATCAGAAGACACATCCATCGACTACAACCCTCTGTGAGTGGCTCTGGGCCTGGGTGCTGGTCTTTGATTCTGGGCAGCCCTAGAAAGAGCTGCTAGTGACAGAAGTAGGCGAAATCAGTGAAACTAGGGGCTGGGGATTTAGTTCAGTTGTGCCATTCCTGCCTGGCAAATGCAAGGTTCTGAGTTCGATAGCTGGTACTGAAAAATCAGATAAGCTAGGATGGGAAATTGGTAAACTAGTATTCAGCCAGTTCTCTGGGTGAGGAAAGACACTAGCCAGGAAGAAAAAAACGATGCATGTTGGCAGTCTGCCCTGCCTGCCTGCTGCTGTAACAGCTTCTTCTGTTTTCCTCTGTCTTGATCCTAGATACAAAGAACGGCACCAGGTGCAGTTGTTGGGGCGAGGCTTCATTGCAGGCATTGACCTAAAGCAGCAGAAACGAGAGCAGTCACGTTTCTATGGAGACCTAATGGAGAAGAGGAGAACTTTGGAAGAAAAGGAGCAGGAGGAGTGAGTGGTTGGGAACACGGGTTGTTGGGCAAAGCCCAGAGTTGCTACAGGAGGTGGAAGGTTCTGATTCTACTTAATCTTCATCCTGCTCCAGGGCAAGACTTCGCAAACTCCGTAAGAAGGAAGCTAAGCAACGCTGGGATGATCGTCATTGGTCTCAGAAGAAGTTAGATGAGATGACGGACAGGGACTGGCGGATCTTCCGTGAGGACTATAGTATTACCACCAAAGGTGGCAAGATCCCCAATCCTATCCGCTCCTGGAAAGACTCTTCTTTACCTCCACACATCTTGGAGGTCATTGATAAGTGTGGCTACAAGGTAAGGAGGGGCAAGATTGACTCAGGAGCCCTACTGTGTTCCTTCATTCTAGGATCCAGACTTAGTTCAGGAATAAGAAATTTGTTCCTTGACTATTTGGTGCCTTCTCAGCTTGTTGACATCAAACTGACCTTGTCGATCACTTTCTGGTGGAAATACTGGTTTTGGGGAATTGTGTTTCTTGAGCCTCCTTACCTGGTGTCCTCCCAAGTACATTACACTGGCATGTGTGCCCGCTGTGTTAGCAGTAGCCAGATTCCCCTTACTCTTTCTCTGGTTTACTGCAGGAGCCAACACCCATCCAGCGCCAGGCGATTCCCATTGGACTACAGAATCGTGACATCATTGGTGTGGCTGAGACTGGCAGTGGCAAGACAGCAGCCTTCCTTATCCCATTACTGGTGTGGATCACTACACTCCCCAAAATTGACAGGTGGGGTCAGCTGGCAGTTTAATCGAGATGAGTGGGTTTGGCTAGGGAGGAAAGGTGAAAGTAGCAAATGAGTGTTTGGGCGTTTGTTTGTTTTGTTTTTATAGTGCTAGAGATTGAACCCAGGGCCTCGTGTGCTAAGCAAGTGCTCTGCCACTGAGCCAAATCCTCAGCTCCTGATGTTTGTTTTTTAAATTTTTAATCAGAAGCTTCCTTCATTGTTGGTTGGATATTAGGGAATAATTGGATCACAGGATCAAAGAAGTGTATGATTTTTTTTGCTGGTAAGAATCATTTCCTGGAGAAACTTGTTATTCTGAGGTCTGACTGTTACATGGAATTGCTCATCATTTTCCCACCAGCTTCTCCATTCTCATGGCTACTCTTAAGAGTGACTTTGTCTTGTTTATGGGCAAAAGCTTATGGAGCTGTGGGACACCTTATTTACTACAGGATTGAAGAGTCAGACCAAGGCCCTTATGCCATCATCCTGGCTCCCACCCGTGAATTGGCTCAGCAGATTGAGGAAGAGACCATCAAGTTTGGGAAGCCACTAGGTATCCGCACTGTGGCCGTCATTGGTGGCATCTCCAGAGAAGACCAGGGCTTCAGGCTGCGCATGGGTTGTGAGGTTTGTTTCCATAGCCAGAAGCCATTTGCTGTTTGGGAAAGCTTTCTGTCTTGGGGATTTGTTTCTAGCTTCTGGAATAGATGTGCAGTAAAATGAAGGGCCTGGATGATGCCTCTCACAATAACCATATAAGAGTAGGAAGTGTCTGTCTCCATTTTATAGATGAAGCTGAGGCTCAGGTTAATAACTTGGCCCAAACTCACACAGAACTAGCAGTTGTCCGAGCTGAGGTTCACAGCCAAAGCCTGTGCTCTGATTACTCTGCCAGTCAATGTTAGTGCCTCTTCGTTTTCCTCTCAGAAAAGGGGAGAAGAGCCTTGTAGAAGTCTACCTTAGGAATCGAGTCTTCTGAAGACTTCTCAGTGTAATCCCTTTTTGCGACCCCTTCCTCAGAATTCCTTAGTCTCGCCGGGCATGGTGGCGCATGCCTGTAATCCCAGCACTTGGGAGGCTGAGGCAGGAGGATCGCTGTGAGTTCGAGACCAGCCTGAGCTACATAGTGAATTCCAGGTCAGTCTCAACTACATAGTGAGACCCTGTCTCAACCCCGCCCCCGCAAAAAAAAGAAAAAAAAGAATTCCTTAGTCTCCCATCTAAGAAATTTATTAAGATTTTGCCCCACGTTTAGTTCCTGAGTCTTAATCAGACCCCATTCATTCCTGGAAAAATCCAGAGTAATGACAAGTGATTTCATGTCAGTTCTCAGGAACCATCACTGCCACACCTGACTGGCTGGAGTTTGGGGTCCAAGTTCCTTAGCATTGGAAGTCAGTTGCCCAAGTGAGTGGATAGTTTACAGAGAAAAGAAGGGAGTTCTTGCTAGGGCCATGTATGATTCCACTGTACTCCACAGATTGTGATTGCTACCCCGGGGCGTCTGATCGATGTCCTGGAAAACCGCTACTTGGTGCTGAGCCGCTGTACCTATGTGGTTCTGGATGAGGCGGATAGGATGATTGATATGGGCTTTGAGCCTGATGTCCAGAAGATCCTGGAGCATATGCCTGTCAGCAACCAGAAGCCAGATACAGATGAGGCTGAGGACCCTGAAAAGATGTTGGCTAACTTTGAGTCAGGAAAACATAAGTACCGACAAGTAAGGATACTTCTCTGGGTCGGGAAAAGGTGGGCACATTCCCAAACCTGGTCTCAGGTCCTTCTTGCCTTAGTTGGGCCCAGAGTACATGTTTCTAGAATGATAAGGTGTGTCTAGGTTCTAGGGGTGGAGCCATTAGTTTAGCTGTGGAAAGTGATGCCAAAGAGTTGTGCCTCTACTTGGACCATAGACAGCAAACTCAGCTCCTCCTGTCATTAAAAGATGTAAAGTGCCCAGATAATAGCTTTTGGATAAAAATGGGAAGGCAGAGGATACTCTTCCCCAAGGTGATGGCTGTCAGACTTTCAGCAGGATTCATTTTAGTACAGTTGTTTTTTTTTTCTTTTGTACTGGGGATCGAACTCGGAACCTTGTGCTTATGAGGCAGGCGGTAGAACCACTGAGCTAAATCCCCGGCCCAGCAGGATTCATTTTGGATTCTTTAGCCTGGGCTCAGTGGCCACTATGACAGTGGGTATGTGATCGTGTCTGCCTGGGCCCAGGGCTAAGCCTCCTGTTTTCATAGACAGTCATGTTCACGGCCACCATGCCCCCAGCGGTGGAACGCCTGGCCAGGAGCTATCTTCGGCGACCTGCGGTGGTATACATCGGCTCTGCAGGCAAGCCTCACGAGCGTGTGGAACAGAAGGTCTTCCTAATGTCAGAATCTGAGAAGAGGTAAGGTAAACTAGTAGAGGGAGAAAGGGCTTCGAGAACTTTCAGTGTGAGTGGTGGCTGCAGGGCAAGTGCTTGGCCATGTTAAGAGCTTCTCTTTCTTCTTTGAAATGCTATGAGCATAAAAGACCCTTGACCTACTGGTGTTCATTGGTCAAAATTGGGTATTAAACTTGGAGTGGGAGGTGTTAGGCATCTCATTTTTGTTTTCTTCCCAGGAAAAAGCTGCTGGCAATCTTGGAACAAGGCTTTGATCCACCCATCATCATTTTTGTCAACCAGAAGAAGGGTTGTGATGTATTGGCTAAATCCCTGGAGAAGATGGGGGTACGTCTGGCAGAGGAGACCCAAGTCTGGTGTCTGGTGGTGCTTCCTGAAACTATAGGAGCTCCCTAGGCAGCTGCTTTTAATTCTCATCTCTTCCTTAAGCTTTCCACTATTCAGCAAGTCAGGGCCAAAGGGAGAGGGATGTTTGAGGGGATAAGGAGAATGGGGAAAAGGCTCCCTGTCCTTTCCAGCAGTGGCAGCCTAAGCTGCCTTAGGGCTTTATCCACATAGGGTAGGGCCAGGAAGTACGATTTGAGATCCCTCCTGGAAGGGTCTGAGGGTGTGGAATAGAGTGGGCTGAGGCTGTCTTTGTGTTTGGGGGAAGAGCCGGTGGGGTCAAGGGGGAGATGTTGATAAGCAGTGTCCTTTACTCCTGATACTAGTGCTTAAGGGAAGAGTGCAGCCTCCTCACTCAGCTCTTCAACTTCCTTAAGTTTCTTGATCCCTGATTTCTGCCCTAATTCTGGCTTAGAACTTCTCATCTGCAGACTCCGCATCTCCTAGATTGGTTTGCCTCTGACCTCATTGTTCCTGCCACCCTACACTATTCTCTCCTATCTCTGCAGTTCACTTGTACTCTCAGTTTCAGTTGCACTCATTTTCTCTTTCTCTTTATTCACTGCTGCTCTCCTCAGCTCTCCTTATCCCCATTCCCTTCTTCTGCATCTTCCTGTGCCCCTGTTGATCTCTTCACCTCAGTGTTCTTCCTACAGTACAATGCTTGTACACTGCATGGCGGAAAAGGCCAGGAGCAGAGAGAGTTTGCACTGTCCAACCTCAAGGCTGGTGCCAAGGATATTTTGGTGGCCACAGATGTTGCTGGTCGTGGTATCGACATCCAGGATGTGTCTATGGTTGTCAACTATGATATGGCCAAAAATATTGAAGGTAAGTGCTGGGGAAGGCAGTTTCAATCCAAAGTAAGGTGAGTCTGCTCATGTCCTTCTCTGTCAGGATGCTGTAACAGGGAGCTCATGCCGCCCCGGCGGGCATGCGCCTCCTAAAAAGAAACGCTCCTGCCCTTGCACACATCTGGGTTTTTGTCCCAGCACATAGGCCAGCACCTCTGTCCTCAGAGTTACGGAGAATGGGGCTAGATCACCCTCAGTGCAGTAGGGTGACCACAGTCAGCAGTAGAGAGCTGTGAGTGCATCAGATGCAGGTAGTGGGAGGTAGATTTCCTGCCCACAAAGGTGCAGTGGAGAGGAGGAGGAGGGGATGCTGCAGATACTGCTCATCCAGGTCTTGGGAGCTGTCCCCAGTAACATTCTTCCTGCTTCTCAGATTATATCCACCGAATCGGCCGCACAGGACGAGCTGGCAAGAGTGGTGTGGCAATCACCTTCCTCACCAAAGAGGACTCTGCTGTGTTCTACGAGCTGAAGCAAGCCATCCTGGAGAGCCCTGTGTCTTCCTGCCCCCCAGAGCTAGCCAACCACCCAGATGCCCAGCACAAGCCAGGCACCATCCTCACCAAGAAGCGCCGAGAGGAGACCATCTTCGCCTGATGCAGCACTCTCCCGTGGGTTTAAGGGCATACTCCAGTGCTGCCTGACGGCTGTTCTTCAAAACCCTCACGTCCCTCTTTCCAGCTTCTCTCTTGGGTTATCAGGGCTTAGAAAACAGCAATTCTTCCTGGCCTTGACCCTCGGGTCCAAAGGCCTGAGGGTAGGACTGCAAAAGGACAGGAAAGCAAATCACTAGATTTTGGCCCCGTTCTGCCCTTTGGGTGAGGCTTTGATTGTATCAAGCTGTCAGCTCTTGCCAGGCAGTGGGGCAGCTGGTTGGCACTGCCCCCAGACTGAAGAAACACCTGGCTGCCCAGACGGGACCTCCTTCGGCGCAAGCCTGACAGTGTAACTGTGTGTGCTGCCCCAACGTTGCCGTAGACGACCCGAGGGTCTGGCACTGTGAGGATCACGGACCTCGGACTCTGTCATTTTGACATCTCTTTTCCTATTTGGAGTATAAAACAAGTTGAGAGCCTTTAGAAGTGTGCACAGCCCCATGCCAAAGGGTACTGTGCACTCTAGGCGTCTCTACCCCAGGGAATTTAGTGGATATGGGGACAGGGCGAGCTGGCTGTGTCCATCTTTAAGTCACTGAGTGTAATTTGTTTTCTATTCTCTGAGAAGGTGAGTTTATATGTTCTAAGAATAAATAAGGAATATCAGGACTGTAGTTCTAGCTAAACCTATCTCCCAGGTTCTCAGTGTCACAGAGGACAGGAGAAAGAGGACGGTGGATTGGCTGGGGATGTGAAAGCCACATAGGGAACTCACAGTCCTGGCCTAGACATCTAGGGAGCTTTGCACAAAGATGCGAAAGCAGAGTTGTAAGTTTGGGGAAGTGAGGCAGTCAGAACCACTCATCTACCATGTCACCATGTGCCTGACACCTTGTCTTGGGACCTTTGCTGGGTACATTGCTCTTGGGAGGGAAGTGACAGAGGGGTGGGCACCAGAGGCCCTGAAGCATGGTATACTGGATCTAGCTGAGTTAATTTGTGGTGAGAAAGCTGTATCCTCCTGTATCTCACGTGTTCTTCCTTGCCCTCGGAGCTGGACAAGTATGTAGAATTCAAGTTGCAGGTATTTCTAGGGCCTCTGGCCTGAGGCAGGGCTGATAGAAAGCTGTGACTACTCTACCACACAGACTAAAGCCCTCCTATGCTGCTCTGTCTCCCCTCCGGACACCTCCTGGGGATATAGTACCCCCCACAGTTCTGCCCCTTCCTCCTCACTCAGTGAGTCCTTGGGGAGGGGAAAGGCCAGAGTATTTCTTTACTTTTGCCAGACTTGGGCCACACAATGAGGAATCTGGCCCCCTGAGCTAGTAAATGCAACAAACGCCCAAGGGTTGATGCATGGTGTTTTATTGGTGAGGATGGTGAGGTGGTGCAGGGTCTTGTGGAACATGCTCTGTAGGTCACACGCTAGAGCCATAAGGCAAGGGTAGCCAGGTAGACAGGGCCTTGGGGCTGGCTGTCCACTGTGTCCTATGTCTTCCCATCTAGCCCTAACCTAACAAGCAGCAATGAGTTGGAAAAATGTCTGGAGCCCCTCTTCCAGGAGGCTTGAAGGGCAAGAACAGATGACAGGATGCAAGGGCAAAAGGAGGAGAGGCAAGGAGGCCCTGAAACTCTTTCATCCTTCCAAACTCCCAGTCAAGGATGGCTCCTGTCTCTCTTAGTGCGACCATGCTCTGGGTCCCTGGTCCTGTCATGCTAAGCTTGCTGGCTGGGTGAGGAGGGCCCTTCCCTCCAAGACCTGCAGCTGTGGTCTTTCTCTGGCCAGCTTCACCTGCCTGCTGCTCCAGGTGTGGATGTGGGTACCCCACCTCAGCTGACAGATGCCAAGTGCCACCCTGTTGGGCTTTGATTGTCTCATTTCTGATGTGTGGCAGTGAGGCGAGTAGAGGCCCTTGGACCCCAAAGCGCAAGCCCTGAGCCTCTTGACTATGAGGACTTGTGCCTGTCCAGGAACCTTGTTTCTTCCTCATGCCATGGCACCCACACCCCTACCCTCCATTTACTCTTGAGGAGGGATCCCTTCCCCAACTCTAGTGGGAAGGCTCCTGCTAAGGGGATCTTGGCCTGAGGGCACTGCCCAATGGGGCAGTTTCTTGTGCAGGAGGCGAGGAAGGTGCCAGGGGTGCAGAACACAGTACCTGGAATGGGGAGCCTAGGGGGTGCCCAGGAGGTAAGGGGGCTGGCTCCCTGCTTCTACCAGAACCTTGGGACCGCAGGCAACCCTGGAGCTGGGGCTAGGCGGGATTGTGGGAGCTGAGCCTAGTCGCAGCCTAATGGCAGTCTAACTCCAACCTGCCTGGAGTGGGTGTCCCAGCCAGCTATGCTTGTGCCTGCCAAGGCAGGGCAACAGGATGCTGTCAGTAGCTATCCTTGGGCCAAGGTCGGTTGCGCTGCCAGTTCCGATCACTGTGGTTGTGCTCCGAGTCCTGGGCTAGGAGCCGGTCTTGGGGATCGTGCCCATTAGCACTGGGCAGCCCTGAAGTGTGTTGGCGGTGAGGCTGATACAGGTCCTGGTAGGCATCTGCATAGTCCTCCTCCAGGTGGCGGGAACTACGCTGTGAAGATCCCGTCCAGGCCTGGCGGGAGCTCTCGCTGGCCTCATCTGAGGGCATCAAGCTGTCCCGTTCCAGGGGTGAGTGCTCCTCGCCTTGCTCCCCCAGCAGCTCCTGGTTCTGGGGAGGGGGCACACACAGCTGTCAGCGAGGCAGCAGACCTGGCCTTTGCCTCCCTCCCACCTGTGGCACGGCAGAGGATTCTTCTTCTCAGCTCTCAGTTCCCAAGTTCAGGAACTAAGTGTGAGAAAGAAGCATGCGGGAGCATTTTTCCTGGTTAACACAGAAAGCCAGAGCTCTTGGTTCATACAAACTCAGGCTCCAGCCGGGCGTGGTGGTGCACACCTGTAATCCCAGTACT